TCTTCTTTCATTTAAAGGAAACAATGGGGAAGATCAAAACCAACAAGTGTACATCATTATTAACTTAGGTTATTGTAGCATCTTGGAGATTGCATGCTGATTTGATATCACTGCTGGTGATATTAAATACATCTAGAGCAGCCATTTGAGGAGATACATTCAGACAGGACAAAATGAAGCACAAATCGGAATCACAGAGGGTGGCTACCCAGGCAGTACACACCACTGCTATGAGTCAGTTTGAAGGCAAGCAAAAGTGAGACAAGAAAAAGCAGAATCAAAGGTAGAGAGATGAGTACAAGGGAGTGGGAAATATGACAGAGTTAAACGTTAGGTATTTAACAAGAATGCTGAATAATTTGGTAATTTTAGGACTTCTGTCCCAAACAATACAATACGTAAAGTACTAGGCTTTTGTGCTCTTTTTAAAGGATTCCTTTGAAACATGAAATAGAACATACAATATTTATGCTATCTTTCATGACTAGAAACAAAAGAACTGGGTCAGAAATTAACATGGAGCCATATCCATCACCAACATAAGCCCAGTAAAACAGAACTATTTCACAGACACATGTGGAAGCAAACACTTAGGGAATGCAAGTCTGTAAGAGCTGGTTTTGGGGGAGAAGCAGAGCTAACATGCAAATGCCCAGCCTGAACCTCACAGTTTGAGATCACATGTTTTTCTTACATCAGTTTTAATAAAGGAAAAGTCTGATGTCTTGCACACTACATCCAGGACTGCATATACCACCATAACACTGATGGACATTTTGGACAGATGTACACACATAAACAGCTTTTGTCCTAAAACGCATCAATCTCCTCAACCAGCCAATGCTTAATTTTCCTCCCTTGTAGTCATATTCTCATTCAGTGATTTCCCACCTGCTCTGTTTGTGTCAACTTTATCACAAACCTAATTCTGCTGCTCTTCAAGGCTTCTACCATTGTCCCTTGCTGAACTGAGCCTCAAAGTAATACAATTTGGGACTGGTGAACTGTTTGAAACAAGAAGTACTTACAAAATGGACAAAGCCTTTCTCTGCACAGGAAACAGGACATCTCCTCTGCACTTGTCTAGATGCCAAACAGCACTGACTCAGCTAGGAAAAGGGCAAACCTGCTGCACACCAAATGTTATATCATACTATTTAGCAATCTCCAAAGAAGAAAAAACGTCTGAGCTTTAAATGCTTCTTTTCCCCCTCCACCTTTCCTGCCTTTGCTTCTTCATATAAATACTGTTTTTACCAATGCAAAAGAAGTTTGGCTGACTGCAGTTACACTGACTGAAAAAATTGCTTTATGCCTACTGGTCAGCTCCTTCATATCATACGGGCTATGCAGGAGCAAAACTCTGCAAAAATAGTTCCTCTGCTGGGGTCCTGCTGCATACCTCTTCTTTCACTACCCCTCGCTCTCTCATCACATAAGCAAAGAAGAATGTTCTCTCTCTTTCCCACATGTGCTTTGCCACACTGGATTGGGCAACAAAAATTTACAAGCCAACAAAGTAGAATCCTAAGTGCATCCACTCAAAAGGAGATTTGGTACACAGCTTTAGGATCCCTAAACAAACTCACTTTTAATAATGTATTTCTGTGTGAGCTTGTTCAACATTTCAATCACAACAAGCTTTGTGGGTACTTACTGCCTGCCCTACTTAAAGTAATGAGCACAACAGAATTATAACTAACACAGAAGTATTATCCTGTTCCTGCACACAGTAAGGGCAACATTGCCTTCCTCGATGCTTCCAAGTTCATTAGAGCCAGTAGTTATTTGTTAGTCTGCGATGTAGATATGTTATGGGCTAACAGATCCACATAAGGGTGGTAAACAGCAGAGCACCCCATTTCAGCAGCAGAAAATAAATGGAGGCCTTGGGAAAGACAGTATAAGCAATATTCCACAATACTGCTTGCACTATCTACTAAGTACTGCAAAACCAGAGCCTCCTTCAGGATGTGACGATTACTTCAGGAGGCTGGGATATCCAGGGGAGTTACTTATTACAGTCCGTATTGTAATAGATTATCTTGGACTGTGCTGGGGACTCCACTGTGCTAGCACAAATATTCACAGTGAAAAGTAACCCATTTCTGAATGTTTTATCACAGGACATGAGGCTTGTGGCTGTACAGAGGGCGAGAAACCACTCTGCAGTACCTAAAAACACAAGAAGGTCCCACTGCAAGGTGTGACGACTGCCACAGTCTGACCCAGCTGCAATCTGCTGGATGTTTCTGTCTGACTGATGGTCATTTTTTTCCAGAGAAGCCAGAGTCAGGGGCTTAGGCAGAGTGCACTGCCCTTACTACTAAATACGGTCTCCCACCTCTGCATCCCACCCACATTGGAGGACTGGGAAAGGTCAAATATTTGCTCTCTCCTCCACAAGTATCATGGCTCAGCAATCTCTAATTGTCCTCTGGTTTTCTCGTGGCATTAAATGTTGACAATATCAACCCTACAAAATCCTCTACGCTATAATACAGGGTTATTACATATGTGGAATAGCCTTTCGCACGGCAGAACCTTGCAAAGAAACACTGAGCTCCTCTGCAAAGTTGTTTTGACATGAATTCTCAGAGCACTGCAGGCAGAAAGAAGGTCAAGGCTGAGTCATACCAGTGTGATGTAAAAGGGGTACTAACGCTACACATTCTTGGCAGATCACTTAATTCTCCCAGTCTCAACTGGGGCCAACCATATATGAATTACATTAGACTTCAGTTATACATATATTTCTGTTGTCTTTCCAACTTCCTATACTTCATATGATAGGTTATGAATACAGATGATATGTCTGGGCTCAGCTGTGGTCTATCTATGTGAACTCCATTCTTTTAGCTACCTGCCCACAAGCCCTTGCTGGGATTCTAATGTCACGCTGACTCTTGCAGAACCACTGCTAAATGCAGGCTAATGAGCTTGGTTAGACCTAGGCTAACTCCGTCCAGAGCTATTGGGGTACCCCTGTCATGCCCGTGCTTTCACGCATTTCTAGTCAGAACAGGAATACCACAACTGACTAAGGTCTAGCAAAGTTGATTAACTCGGTCTCCACGCCATGTGCTGTGTACTCTCTTCAGACCAAGCTGTCCTTGGCTTTCATGCTACGCTGCTTGAGCCTAGTATCTGCCCATGGATAATTTAAACACATCTGTATAGACTCTGGAAGTGACTAATGCAACTGGCTTTAAAAACAGATGCTAAAAATCGGTTATTACAGTGGAAAACATAATCTTGCAGGGTAGACTTTTTTCCCACAATAGCCATGCGTGTGCTCTCACACAAATGAGAATATGCATATCAGGAGTGGGAATTCTTTTTTCAGCAACAAGACGTTCAGAATACCCTGTAGCTCTGTACTCCACAGGGTGCCATAGATACAGCAAACAGTTTACATACTACCTGACAACACACTTCATTTCCTTCCGTATCAGAATTTACTACATTTCAGTGTCAGATTACCTGCTTGCTCCTGGACAATAATAAAGGGGGTAGGGGGAAAATACCTTCCTGAGCTACCATTACTAAGCCATTATTTTGTATGCATGCGTCCATAAGCACATTGTAAAGTCTAACATGTTTCTGGCAGATAGTTAATTAAGGATCAAAAATTTCATAGAAATTAGGATCATGACTCATTTCTAACTGGAGTTTCTTTTAAAATCCCAACCATAATTTATTTCTTTCAGCTACAGTAACATTCATTTTCTCTGTCTTTTTCATTTTTAAAACCTATAGTTATAAAAAATTTAGATTGAAATCATTCAGGAGAGTAATTTCAAAAGAGATATAAGAACAGAAATGTTTCTATCATTGATGTCTTGTTAGTGACAGAAGATTTATTTTTCCTCTAAATTAGTTTACAATTTAAAAAAAAGATACTGTCCCTACAGACAGTGCTAAACTGATTTAACCAAAATACAAACATAATTGCATGGACTTTGATTTTCTTAAAGTCGTTATTTTAGCAAATCTACAACATAAATATTTCTAAAATGTAATATATAATAATTATAGCATAGATATATTTTAAATTGCTAAAGTGCTGACTGGGGTGGTGTTAATATCTTTTCATTAATATCAGACAACTTAATATACAGCAAAATGCACTGCTTACTGCTTTAGTTATTAAAACATTTGGTTCAAATAAGTAAGATTACATCTTCAATTCAGTAAGTACCCATCATGTTTACTTTGATAATTTTTTTTTTTTAATGAGCTGCAAAAAAGCAGTTTTCCCTCCACCCATTTCCCCATCCCCAGAGCTGCTGTTTGTTCAAAGGATCAGATGCATCACCAAGGCTGAAAAAAAGTTGAGCATTAACTGTCTGTGTGAATGGTCCTACCAGACCAGGCCTCAAATGCACTGAAGGGAAGGTTGTTCACTCCCTTGGTCCCATCCATCTCACCAAGCCATTGTGCAATAACAGTGGCCATATTAACCCCACCTGACATGCATGCTTCCTAGCAGAGAACAGTCCACTGAAGGAGGCTCCATGGGCTTTCAGCTGGTACACACTGCTTGATTAAATCGCATATTTCACCAATAGAGCTCAACAGTTTCACCTGCTTACCGATCTTTATCAGGCAGTTCTGGGCTTTCAAAAAGAGCAGTTCTTATTTTCGTCCTACCTTAGTCAGATACTGTGATAAATTTAACATTAAAAGGTTATTCTTTTAGCAATAAAACACTTGCTATCTAATGTAAATTGTAGGTGAGATTAAGGTTGCAAAGGATCTCAGGGAACTTTTAATGGATACTTAGTGGGATTTTAACAGGACTTAATTTGAGCACTCTGGTACTTCAGGAGACATTTGAAACATCTAACCTTCATATATTTGATAGAAATTACTCATTCTGGCCACTGTATGTAACCTACCTTCTACGTGATCAAACAACATAACACTTCCAGGTGAAAAAGAGCTAACAGACTCTATAATTCAGGATCTACAATGCTAGGTTGAACTACAGCACTCACCCATTAGGTCTAAGGTCAGGCAAGGGCCTGTCCAGTGGCAAGCGATCGCTCAGGTAAGCATTGTAGCCATAATACTGGAATTGTTTAAGTGCGATACGTCTATTTTCAGGACTGAGATCCTGGCCCCAGTGAGCAAAGAGAGATGAATCAGTGAACGCTTCAGCAGGATTTTCTTCCAGTTTTGGTGGAGCTTCTACAAAACACAAAGACAAAAAGAAGCAATTTTAGATTCTCATTCCAACAGGCTCTAGGGTACGTTACTTTAAAAAGCGTAACTTTAGGGAGAACACCACACAGAACAGCATGTGCTGCTGGCTTACAGTGGCCTGTAAGTCTGCACATAACATGCCCTCACATACCTCTTGTGGCAGTGTAACTATTAGCACCTAAGGCTCAAAATTTAATATTCAAAATACAATTAGTTAAAAACAATTCTTCTTCATCACAATCAGACTAAAGGCCGGGACCAATAAATCTAAATGAATTAAATTTCAAAAGGATTCTTATCAGACAATAAGAACGTTATTTTGTTTCAGCCTGAATTATCTTGCTAGAAAAAGATTAAAGTTTTGAAGGGGAAAAACAAAGCCAAAGGAAGAGAAGAGAGAGTCTGTACAGACCACAAAATGGCTGGCAAAGTTTGTGCGTAAAATAAGTTCTTTGAAACTACAGATTCAACAGAGAGAAAAAATTCCCTGCACTTGGCATCCATGTTTAAATAGCAAACCAGTTTCAGTCACTCAATAATTGTATGGTCCAGTTCACCAATCCAGCCTATCTAAATTTTTAGTCCATATTTAGGTGTGTGCAACGATGCTACTGGGATCATCACTTTGTAATACTTGTGTCATTATAAAATGCTTTTGTTCAACAAGGCCACACCTCTGGCTGCAATAACCAATAGACAAGATGGGAAATTATATTCCTACAACTTAATTTAAGAGCTCCAGGACAATAAAGTCACAGCATCTGTTCTCAATATTTAGTTGCTCAAGAAGTCTGTTCAAGGTGACTTGTAAGGCTTTCTGTAACAGCACCGTCTCACCCCTCCAACCATCCCTTCAGTCTTTATGAAGTTGACCACACAATCTAACCCAGAGAACCCCTTGCCTCTGTGAACACTTCATGATATACAATACACTAATGAAGAAAGATCAAATGCCTTACTTGATTGCAATTTGTCATCATAAACTAGAGCTTCACAAAGAAAAAATGTTTTCATTTTCTGGAAGTTCTAATTATTTATGAAGAGTCTCCACAGCCATTAACAACTAACCAACTAAATAAAAACTCTCATTTCTGATGAGCTGTACTTATAAACCATAACTGCTGGGTCACGCAAAGACTTAGAAAAATAAAAGTGAATCTTTCAAAAGTCCAATAGGCAGACACTTCAACTGTGTCCAAAGTCCCTTACAGAGCTGACAGCTGCCTTAAGGACACCTAAGGACAACAATTTATGTACTAGTAGAATATACCACCAGAATCCTGACTCCCAAAGAATGCCAGGAAGCACATTCTTTGATCTCTTACTAAAAAGAACCTGAAATGCAAAAACTTGAATTGAGAAGATTAAGTTGTTTGATTCATTCAAGATGTTTTTCTTTTTCCCCTGACAATACTGACAGGAAACTAATGACACTTGCTTCCCTGCATTACATTCCAACCTCTGTAAATATGTAACATTTCTTTACTTGATGAAGTACTGCCTCTCAGCCTGAATCCTAGAATTGGCTCCAGTTCTTCGAAGACTAAAAGACATACTAAACTCTCAGTCAAATGAGGAAACTACACTGACAGCCCCCACTACCACATGATAAATCTGACAGAGTGGAGCTTGTGAGTTCACATACAACTCTGCAATGGAAATTTAAAAAGTTTGATAAATTCAGATCATTTTAGAAGGTCCTAACTTGAGAAAGGCAGTATAGTTTTTAAATACCAGTCCAAAAATCACAGCAACGGGGAAAGTCCCAGGTATCTCTGTTTTTTGATAACTATGTGATCTCCACAAAAACAACTTGAATTTACACGAAGAATCTCACAAACTACCTTCACATCATAAGAGATATTTAGATTAGGTACAGTCCTGATCCTGGCCAGTAGAAATTAATGTTCCTTGGCACTTTTCAAGAACACGTACATTCACGCTAATCAAGAAAAACATGCAAGTATTTGTTCAACCTGTTGTATGTTACATTAACCTGGATTTCTCCAAATCAAGCACACTTTCCCTGAAGGTTTTAACTTTGATAATAATATTACACTTATGGCAGAAGACTGTAGGATCCACCCACATGCAGACAGCATGATGCGTGAAGACATCTGAATAAAAATAAGACTCGTGGTAAGAATATTGCATGCATATGCATTTCTAACTACGGGCAGTTCCAAGGATCATTTTCCATGGATGAAGAGCCATCCCAGAAACAACCGCCTTCACAAAATCACACTCACACAAGCATCTATTGAATTTTATCTAACGATCACGTGGGAGGGAGTATTTCCTAAAGTGGTCTATGAATCTCTTGCTGTTTTTTGATTGAAAAAGCACTCAAATCCAGGTTGCATCTGCAAGACTAATATTTTCCAGCAATGGATATCTGTGAATTTAGTTTACAAGCTCTAATAAACCACTTGTCAAATGCAGCCATTTTTTGTATACTAAGCAAACATGTTATTTCAATATGTTATTCTACAGGAAAAAAGCGTTATAGCAAGAGCTTTCAATTACAATTCCAATCAATGGAATTAAGCACGCATCTCTGATGGCAAAGTCTTTCTTCCCTTTATTTGGCTGAAAACCCTTGGGACTTCATTCAGCCAGTTTCTCACAAGAAATAAAAACAATTATTATAAGACTATCAACTGCCTTTCGACTAGTCAACAAGCATCATTTGATGCCTTAGTCTCTGTAAACAGATCTCGGCCTGAAGTCTCACAGCCACTTCTTCTTCTTCTTACCACTTGATTCTACAATCGCAGAATGATCATGGGAAGCTAAGGCTCAAAGGTGAACCAGTAAGTAGTACTGCCTGAAGCAATACAAAGGTAGGCACATTTATCTACTCAGTTATTACTAAAAAGGAAAGATTAGTTCCATTTTTCCTGTGGGAAGAAAGCTTACCATCCACAGCACATTGCTGCAAATATTAACATGGGGTCTTCTCTATATTCACTTTTCACACCATGCAAAGAGCATCAGTGTACACAGATTTGAGCCTGTAGTATTAACGCTTGGCAGACTGACACTTTGCCATTAAATCAATTGGTACTAGAGATAAATCGCACAGATGTCAGCTGGCTGTACACCCGGGTGGAAGAAGTCTCCTTCCAGAAGCCTGGCTGTTCATGGCATCAGCATGGGGTTGGTCACATACTGCTTACCTGACTCAAAAAACTCACAGCTTGTTTTCCAAAAGCATCTGTGTGTCTTTAGCTCATACTGTCTGGATCATGTTTACTAGTTATGCAATTAATATAAAATCTATTGCTTCATCTGATCTCACTGACCAGCCTCCAAGATGGAAATTCCTCTCCTCTTTCTGTTGCTCGTTATATAGAATAAGTCAGAGACACCAAATCAGAAGACACTGCTGAAATCCAGGTTGTACATGACATGAAACCAACTCTCTCCTAATAATAAAAGATATTTTTATTAGTAATTGAAGCTTGAACTTGAAGTTAACACTGCCCTTGTAACGAAACACACACACAGAGGTTTCAATAGCCTCTTCTAGTGTACTGGGTACAAACAGCAAGGTTTGGGTAGTGGAAGGACTGCAGGAGTGGCCTCTGTGGAAGAGGGTCAGGTGCTGCTCTGTCAGACATAGTCATTTCCCCAACAGACTCACTGCTGGCCAAAGCAGAGCCCATCAGCAAAACTGGTGGTGCTTCTGTGAAGAACTATTTAAGAAAGGGCAGAAAATGATGAGGAAAAGGGAACAAGTGTACAAGGGGGCAGCAAAGAGAACAACAGAGGAAACAAGGAAATGAGAGAAGGGCAACCAAGTTGGTGAGGGGCCTGGAGCACAAGTCTTTTGAGGAGCAGCTGAGGGAGCTGGGGCTGTTTAGTCTGGAGAAGAGGAGGCTGAGGGGAGACCTTATCGCTCTCTACAACTACCTGAAGGGGGGTTGTAGTGAGGTGGGTGTTGGTCTCTTCTCTCAGGTGGCTGGAGAAAGGACGAGAGGAAATGGCCCCAAGTTGCAGCAAGGGAGATTTAGGTTAGATATTAGGAAAAATTTCTTTACTGAGGGGGTTGTCAGACATTGGAATAGGCTGCCCAGGGAAGTGGCTGAGTCACCATCTCTGGAGGTGTTCACAAAGCGAGTAGACGGGGTACTCCATAACATGGTTTAGTGGGCATGGTTGATGGTTGGACTTGATGATCTTGAAGGTCTTTTCCAACTTAAATGATTCTACGATTCTAAGACCAAGGTCAGGAGAGTAGGAGGTGCTCCATGTTGTCTTCGTTTCCCAATACCCAAGCTAGTAATTAAATGTATGTGTTAATTGGTAATAAATCGAATACTTGCTTTCTTCAGAGGTTGTACAACCAAGCAGCAAACAAACAAACAATAAAATGTCTATCCCTTATTATTAGTAAGGAGCTGCAGACAAGCAATGTGTTAGAAGCAACAAGAAAAGACAAGACGGTCCCTATCCCATCAAAAGTTATGCATTTAGTTTTATTGATCTCAACTGGTGTAAGGTACCAGTGTATCCCTTTCCTTCCTCTCCCTTCCTTCATTTGTTATCTATTTATAACCTACACTTACTTTGTTAAGTTTTTCTCAATACACATTTGTCTCTGCCAGTTTTCATAAGGCAACTCATACAACTAGTACACAAAGAACAACATAATAAAAAAATCTGACCAGACAGTAAGGAATTCAAGAAGGGATTTTCTTGATTACCACAAAGCATATATATAGCATCATTTGATAACAGCAAATAATGGCACAGGAATCGTTCTGCCCACCATGAAAATGCAATTATTTCCAGGGTAGTACAGGACAACCACTTAATTTACAACAGCATTCTTAAGTCGTGAAAGGAAGGAAATGAAGACTATTGTATCCAACTGTAATTGTAGTAGTCTTCAAGCACCTCGGCAAAACATAATTATTTAATTACCATTGGCATAATGTAATTATTTAATTACATGGGGATATTTTCGAGCCAACAAATGC